TCTACTTGCTGCTATTTGCTGCTACTTGTTGCTACTTCTTGCCGCTTCTGGCTATTTGCTGCTACTTGCTGCTACTTGTTGCTACTTGTTGCTACTGTTTGCTATTTGCTACTATTTGTTGCTAGTTGCTGCTATTTCTTGCTACTGGATGCTATTTGCTGCTATTTGTTGCTATTTGCTACTTTTTGTTTCTACTTGTTGCTACTTGTTGCTACTTGCTGCTACTTGCTGCTACTTGCTGCTACTTGCTGCTACTTGTTGCTACTTGCTGCTACTTGCTGCTTTTTGCTGCTACTTGCTGCTACTTGTTGCTACATGTTGCTACTTGTTGCTACTTGTTGCTATTTGTTGCTACTTGTTGCTACTTGTTGCTACTTGTTGCTACTTGTTGCTACTTGTTGCTACTTGCTGCTACTTGCTGCTACTTGCTGCTACTTGTTGCTACTTGTTGCTTCTTGTTGCTACTTGCTGCTATCTGTTGCTAGTTGCTGCTACTTCTTGCTACTTGTTGCTATTTGCTGCTATTTGTTACTATTTGCTACTATTTGTTTCTACTTGTTGCTATTTGTTGCTACTTGCTGCTATCTGTTGCTAGTTTTTGCTACTTCTTGCTACTTCTTGTTACTTGTTGCTATTTGCTGCTATTTGTTGCTATTTGCTGAAGTTTGCTACTATTTGTTTCTACTTGTTGCTACTTGTTGCTATTTGTTGCTACTTGTTGCTACTTTTTGCTATTTGCTGCTGCTTGCTGCTATTTGCTGCTACTTGCTTCTACTTGTTGCTACTTGTTGCTACTTGTTGCTACTTGCTGCTACTTGTTGCTATTTGCTGCTACTTGCTGCTACTTGTTGCTACTTGTTGCTACTTGTTGCTATTTGCTGCTACTTGCTGCTACTTGTTGCTAGCTACTTGTTGCTAGCTACTTGTTGCTACTTGTTGCTACTTGTTGCTACGTGTTGCTACTTGTTGCTACTTGCTGCTACTTGCTGCTTGTTGCTACTTGTTGCTATTTGCTGCTACCTGCTGCTACTTGCTGCTACTTGCTGCTATTTTCGCTACTTGCTGCTACTTGTTGCTACTTGTTGCTATTTGCTGCTACTTGCTGCTACTTGCTGCTACTTGTTGCTACTTGTTGCTACTTGCTGCTACTTGCTGCTACTTGCTGCTACTTGTTGCTATTTGTTGCTACTTGCTGCTACTTGTTGCTATTTGCTGCTACTTGCTGCTACTTGCTGCTACTTGCTGCTACTTGTTGCTACTTGTTTCTACTTGTTGCTACTTGTTGCTATTTGTTGCTACTTGCTGCTACTTGTTGCTACTTGTTGCTACGTGTTGCTACTTGTTGCTACTTGTTGCTACTTGTTGCTACTTGTTGCTATTTGCTGCTGCTTGCTGCTACTTGTTGCTACTTGTTGCTACTTGTTGCTACTTGTTGCTATTTGCTTCTACTTGTTGCTACTTGTTGCTACTTGTTGCTACTTGTTGCTACTTGTTGCTACTTGTTGCCACTTGTTGCTACTTGTTGCTACTTGTTGCTACTTGCTGCTTCTTGCTGCTATTTGCTGCTACTTTTTGCTACTTGCTGCTACTTGTTGCTACTTGTTGCTACTTGTTGCTACTTGCTGCTACTTGCTGCTACTTGCTGCTACTTGCTGCTACTTGCTGCTACTTGTTGCTACTTGCTGCTACTTGTTGCTATTTGCTGCTACTTGCTGCTACTTGCTGCTACTTGTTGCTACTTGCTGCTACTTGCTGCTACTTGTTGCTATTTGCTGCTACTTGTTGCTACTTGCTGCTACTTGCTGCTACTTGTTGCTACTTGTTGCTATTTGCTGCTACTTGCTGCTACTTGCTGCTACTTGTTGCTACTTGTTGCTACTTGCTGCTACTTGTTGCTATTTGCTGCTACTAGCTGCTACTTTTTGCTACTTGTTGCTACTTGTTGCTACTTGTTGCTATTTGTTGCTACTTGTTGCTACTTGTTGCCACTTGTTGCTACTTGTTGCTACTTGTTGCTACTTGCTGCTACTGCTGCTACTTGCTGCTACTTGTTGCTACTTGCTGCTACTTGTTGCTACTTGTTGCTACTTGTTGCTACTTGCTGCTACTTGCTGCTACTTGCTGCTACTTGCTGCTACTTGTTGCTACTTGCTGCTACTTGTTGCTACTTGTTGCTATTTGCTGCTACTTGCTGCTACTTGTTGCCACTTGTTGCTACTTGCTGCTACTTGCTGCTACTTGTTGCTATTTGCTGCTACTTGTTGCTACTTGTTGCTATTTGCTGCTACTTGTTGCTACTTGTTGCTACTTGTTGCTACTTGTTGCTACTTGCTGCTATTTGCTGCTACTTGTTGCTATTTGCTACTACTTGTTGCTACTTGTTGCTACTTGTTGCTACTTGTTGCTACTTGTTGCTACTTGTTGCTACTTGTTGGTACTTGCTGCTACTTGCTGCTACTTGCTGCTACTTGTTGCTACTTGCTGCTACTTGTTGCTACTTGTTGCTACTTGTTGCTACTTGTTGCTATTTGCTGCTACTTGTTGCTATTTGTTGCTATTTGTTGCTACTTGGTGCTACTTGTTGCTATTTGCTGCTACTTGTTGCTACTTGTTGCTATTTGCTGCTACTTGTTGCGACTTGTTGCTACTTGTTGCTACTTGTTGCTACTTGTTGCTACTTGTTGCTACTTGCTGCTACTTGCTGCTACCTGTTGATACTTGTTGCTATTTGCTGCTACTTGTTGCTATTTGCTGCTACTTGTTGCTACTTTCTGCTATTTGCTGCTACTTGTTGCTACTTGTTGCTACTTCGTGCTAATTGTTGCTATTTGTTGCCACTTGTTGCTACTTGTTGCTACTTGCTGCTACTTGCTGCTACTTGTTGCTATTTGTAGCTACATGATGCTACTTGTTGCTATTTGCTGCTACTTGTTGCTACTTGTTGCTACTTGCTGCTACTTGCTGCTACTTGCTGCTACATGTTGCTACTTGTTGCTACTTGCTGCTACTTGTTGCTATTTGCTGCTAGTTGTTGCTACTTGTTGTTATTTGCTGCTACTTGCTGCTACTTGTTGCCACTTGCTACTACTTGTTGCTACTTGCTGCTACTTGTTGCTATTTGTTGCTACTTGCTGCTACTTGTTGCTATTTGCTGCTACTTGTTGCTACTTGTTGCTATTTGCTGCTACTTGTTGCTATTTGTTGCTACTTGCTGCTACTTGCTGCTACTTGTTGCTATTTGTTGCTACTTGCTGCTACTTGTTGCTATTTGCTGCTACTTGTTGCTACTTGTTGCTACTTGCTGCTACTTGCTGCTACTTGCTGCTACTTGTTGCTATTTGTTGCTACTTGCTGCTACTTGTTGCTATTTGCTGCTACTTGTTGCTACTTGTTGCTACTTGTTGCTACTTGTTGCTACTCGTTGCTACTTGTTTCTATTGCTAACTCGAAGGCAATGTGCAGCGCTCAATATTAAGATTCGCGGGCTGCAAACAGGGGGATAACGCTCAAATTATCCACTGGACCTCGCGACTTTCCTGCACTATCCTGTCGGGGAGCAACATCTTCAAGACAGCCAGATTTTGAAAAAAATGGTTATGCAGCAAAAATGCAGGCCAAAAAGGTTAGGTTGTGTACAAAAAAATGTCAAGAAGTATTTGCAATCGTGCGTGAGCAACAACCAGGTTCACCGGCAATCAACAATTTTATCCGTCATCATGTAGACTGCAGCCGCTACACAGAACGTTTCCAGTTGTTCCTTCAAACTGTTGGGTGTTTGATTCCCTTGAAACCACCTGCAGCACCAAACAACATCTCACATTTTTTTTCTGCAGTTCAATGCGGACACAATACTGGGGGGTGCAGTGCAGGTGTAGGGCATATGTTTTGGGCAAATGGCAAGTCGCAATGCTTCGCAGTGTGAATGCCAAGTTCAAGAGATAGAATTTGGATAATTTGGCAAAAGGCCAAGGTTGGAAAAAATTTGATGCCAGCGTTCATGTGGGTTCCTCTGTTTCTGATGCCACCTTGGTCCCGAGCCACGTACCGAGGGGGGCACATTGTTGAGCCTCCATCATCGCATGGATTCTCAATACTGTTGCTGTAATCACATTTGATAAGTGCAGTGGTTTGCTCCTGAACAGCCGGTTTCACAGTTGCACTGAGTCAGTAGGGTTCCTGCAGTAAGATCGACCCTCTTCGTTGGTCGCCATAGCCATAAGACTATAAAGGGATGCGGGGAGCCGCGGAGCCCTTTGCTAATTTCAACATATTTAGTTCAAGTGTATCCATCGGGTTGTGAAATGAAAATGTTTCGGCAATCTGGTCGACTGTGTCGTTGGAGGAGACGACAGCGGGAATCCTTGTTTCCAGTATCTAAACATGTTGATCACGTACAATCATGTTTGATCATGTACATACCCTCGGAGATGGCGGAGAGAGAGGGAGAGCGACAGAGAGAGAGAGAGAGAGAAACAAGAGAGATCTACATGTGATTGTTACACACGATGAAACGATGAAACATGGTCTATTTGCTGTTTGCGTTTGCGCGACACAGCAGCTCAGCTCTGGAGCTCTCACTTTTTGACTCAAGCCTTTCTATTCACAAGTGCAGTGTCGTTTCTACGGTAGGGACGTGCATGTTGCCCCCACCATCACTTCACAAAAGTGTAAGTTGTTGTCATGAGCGAGGGGGTTGCCTTGAAGTGATACCCAACAAGAGCTCCCAATGTGTGGAGAAATAGGGCCCTTGATGAGCTATTTGAGGAAATTCATGGCATAGAATCAGTACCATGTTTTGACCGTGGCAAATTTGGTCGCGCATGGGCATGCCTCGCTATCCATAAACCGTATGTTTTCGCAGTGTGTATCAACACAACACCATCCAAATGGGGTGAAGTTTTAACATGCTTCAACGTTGCGTCATGTTACATCCCAACATTTCCGAGAAGTGCATGCCCCATAGATTTCCGGGCAGCGAGCCAAAAGGCAATCGATGCCAGGCATCCTTGGAAATGTCCACCGATGGTTCCCATCAGTACGAGAAGGCGATTCACATCCACCTCGCGCGTGTGGCGTAATCTGTGTAGCGACAGAGTTGCCATGAGCTTTCACAATTTTCCCATGCCCCCCCCATGATTTCTTTGTTTTTACACTTCTCATCTGGTTTGAACTTTGGAAACTATGCAGAATGCACCAAGATGTACCAAGAATCTAGTGTGTAAACATGTGTAAACCATGCAATAGATCACTTCTGATGGCCAAAGGCAGCTCTTTGTGTCACTTCGTGGCCCCATGTGGCGCCCCCCGTGCAAGGCCAAGAAGAATGCATTCCTCTTCAGTGCACAGAGTGCAGGGAACCTGGCAGGGCAGGCGACGACTCCACTCATGTGGCTCACGACAGTCACAGCTTCACCTGTGAGAAGTGAGCAATAAGCTGGCGTTAGCATCGTGCAATATCGTGCACTTCGTGTCGCTGAGGTGCCAACGCGTGACTCCATTAGCAGCACGGAATCCTGGTAACAAGATAAAAATACCGGATATGAACATTGTTACATGTTGTTACAAGATATAAAATCTGTAAGCGTTCAGATCACCGGCAACAGCACCAGGTCTCGGATGGATTGGCTCAGATCTTTGCCATACCCAGGTCAAATCACGGAGAAGAATCTGCCGTATACCTAAGGATGGTTGGACGTGTTGACACCGACTTTTTGTGAGACCGTTGGTTCCGGGCGCTTATTGAGACACAAAATGCATCAGGATGCATCAGGCAAAGTTGTTTTGCACCTCATTTGCAATTCTTTGTTGGATTGGATGTGCTTCAAGAAGCAACAGTGCCCTGAGGGATACATAATATCTCTATATTATATTATATATATATATGATATATAGATATATGATATATATGATATATATGATATATATATATATATCATATATATGATATATATATAATATATATGATATATATGATATATATGATATATATATGATATATATGATATATATGATATATATGATATATATATATATATGATATATATGATATATATGATATATATGATATATATGATATATATGATATATATATGATATATATGATATATGATATATATATATATATGATATATATGATATATATGATATATATATAGAGAGAGAGTACTTCAATTGTGTGCGCATTGTATACAACTCTGCTGCTTTGGGCGGTTTAGGTCGCAGAAACTTACGACCCTAAGGCTGAGTCTTGCTGCAGAGCCCTGTGCAAAGCTCTTTGCCTTGGCTCGGGTCTTGGTAGGTCTTGGGATGTTTTGGTGAAACCAGAGGAGTATGGAGATATCTGGGGAGGTGGCCAGGGAACGCCCTGAGAAGAGTGAGACGGAGCAAGTTGCAGCAATATTTCGCGATTTGGCAGCTTGAAGATGTAGGCAATCTAGGGCTGATAATTGGCTAACATGGCTGATTCACTTGGCTTTTTGTTGGTCTCTCGTTGTTGTCATATCGATCACCCCGCTGCATTGTTCATAAAAAGCGCAGGACAGGAAACCATTCATTCATTTTCCACCCGCCCGTGTGAAAATGGACCCGAGGATTCTTAGATTTTTGTCACGACAGGTAGCCTAGACTATCTGAGTTCCGTGGGTTTTTAAGACTTGTGGCCGAGTGATGCCGAGTGATGCCGAGTGGCCGGGTCGAAATCTCTGAAGTCCGTCCGTATCCGTCCGTGTAACATCAGTTCTTCAATATAGGGCTGTCCCACCCACCTCCACTGCATCCACCCTCTGTCCACCCTTCCATTCTCCCTAGTCCGTCAGATTATTAAAATTTATTAAATCTGTGTTTCCTCTGGCCCACTTGCACCACTAATTGTGCAATGAATTTCTTGGTCGCACTCTTGGTTCAGCACTTGGCTACAGTGTTTCAGAAGCATTCAATGCTACACTTACTACATTCTCTTTATTTCTCTTTCATGTTTCGTTTGTACATTGTCTCCAGTGCCTCGAATTCTCAAGCCTTGGCACTTTGCTCCAACGCCAACAGCGCCTTTGCTTGTCTACCACATATCTGGCTTCACCTTTTTCTTGTTGCGATTGATAAAAGGTGTGTATGATGAAGAAGCTTCAGCAAAGACATCATCTCTTTGCCATCATCGCATCGTGTTTTTGACATAGGGGGGGGACTGGGGAAAACAACAAGTTGCCAACGTTTTTTGCACTAATACCATCATTCGCACCAACGAATACTGAAAATAGCAGCGTGTTTGTTGACACCAAGGGGGAAACACCACAAACACCGGCGTGTTCTGTGGCAAGTCACAGTGGTTCTGGCATCAACGTTTCAAGGTACACGCTTGGGATATGCCGGCGGTGACGGAGTTGCTGTTCCTGGATGCCCCTGGCCATCTTTCCCTTCCACACGCCACACGTCTAGTGCTCACCAGGTCTACGGCCAGCTGTCGTTTAGTTCCGCTTCCAGGAACCTCCAACGTGTAAATTTGCGCCCCACTGACTGTTCGATGCACAAATCGATCTTGCGTAAACCTAGTTTTGGTAATGCAAAAAAACGTCCCGAGCATTTTTCGGTTTTCTGCACCTCATCCCTGTTGGAAACGCGATGTAAAAAATCCGCAAAAAGAGCTCAAATCGGTGAGAAAACACAAACGGGCGCAAATTCAAAAACCGTCACCAAATGATGGTCCTGCCTTGGGCACATTTTGAAGAAACGTACTTTGGGAAGGGATTAAAACTTCATTTTAAGTGCGTAAAAGACGTCATGCAAAAATCAAATGACTATTTGGAGGCCACTGGTTGGGTGAATGCTCACAGCCCAATTCGCAGAACAAACCCATGACCCATGTAATGGGATGTCCTTTTTCCAATTCTTGGAGTACCGAAGGTCCCATATGTCATGTGTGAATGTTCTGTTATTTTTGAACTACCCATTCCAATCAAAATTTCCCATGTGGGCCCCGATTGAGTCCCGAACAGTTTCACTCCAGCACCACCCTCATGGCAAAGTATGCTATGCCCAAACCTTTTGACCTCTCCATCTTGGCCTACCTGTCGCGTTCCCCCTTCTCAAGTTGAAGTAAGAAAATACAGAAAATGAGACTCTAGTAATCTCTAGTTCCAGAACTGACAACTCCTTGTATGTTTGTGTTTTTACATCCTCGCGTCCTCCTCGCGTCCGTATTCGTCTCTCACGCAAATCGTTTCCGTAACAACTCGGTTTTGTCCCGTTTTGTTTGTCAAACCATCAGAAATCAAAACAGAAGTCGATGGGCGCTACCCAAATCTGCCCAAATCTCGAGAAGGTTCGCCTGTGATTCCAGAGACTCACTGCGCTGCGCTATGCTGTGCTATGCTGTGCTCAGGTCGAGTCTGACTTCACTCCGCTGTCCCTGTGCCAGGACACGCTCCGCAGCGCTTGCGTTTGTTTCAACTGTCAGACTACGTCTATTTGATCGGAGAGATATGGAGATATAGGAGATGTATATGCAAGATTTTTACAAGCCTTCGCAGTCTGCCACTGACAACAAATTGGGGCACATCATGAATCATGGCGCATCTCTTTGCATGTCGTACATGCTGTCACAACCTGGCAATTGCCCGGAGTCCTTGCTGATTCACCCCATTGACATGGGCACACAGGTGAACACATGATCTACAAGCCCAGAAGCCCAGTAAGGAAATGCCACCGCCATGATTTGGAGGATGCCAAGCCTTTCCTCGACCAGATCGCTTCAGACGATGTTTGCGAGGGAAAACTCAAAGATTATGTGCCACGCCAAGCGGTTGTTGACACACACACACACACCATTCATTACTACTTGTATCTAGTTGTACTTAAAATATCCTAAAATAAGTATTAGGTAAAAGGAAAAATGTCTAGGTGGGTATCAGCACTGGATGTCCCGATTATTCCACAAGATCATGCACATCTCCCCCCAGACCACTTTGGAGTTGTTTTTGCCATAAGCCCATGTGACGTGTGCGGGCAGCGGCTTCATGTTTTGCAAGTCTCGGTTTTGGAGGTTGTTCTCAGCAATGCCTAATGCAAGACCTTCCCCTCTCGGGTTTTGGCGTCAAAGCACATTTTTTTCCCCAAATCTGAAACACCCCGAGGGATTAGAAGGGTGCGGGATTAGTGGCAATCGATGGCAATCGTCCAAAATCTTTCACTCCCCCAGGAACGATGTGGAACGTACTTTAGTAATCGTTAGTCGTATTTTTGTTGACCGACGAATGTCCAAGCCCAAGCAACGGATTTTTTTTTTTTTTTTATATAGCTGTTCACGCCAACCCTCGAATCCTGAAATGCCTGTTGCTGTAGCGTTGCTGTTGCTTACAGCTTGCCCGTGTTTGCCCACGGTGTCTCTTGATGACGCAGACATACATACATGACGCAGACATACATACATGCATACATGCATATACATGCCTACATGCATATACATACACATACATACACATACGTATACATACATGTACATACACATACACATACACATACATATGACGTATACATATACACACATACACACGTACACACATACACACATACACACATACACACATACATACATGCCTGCCTGCCTGCCTGCCTGTCTGCATGCATGCATGCATGCATGCATACCTACGTACGTACGTACGTACATACATACATACAGACAGACAGACATACATACAGGCAGGCAGACAGACAGACATGTGTGTGTGTGTGTGTCAGTGTTTGCCCTTGCTACATGCATTCAGTTGTTCAAGTGCATTTTGTGTCATGACTGGTTTTGCACGGAAAAATGGCATATGAACGATGTTTGCTTTGTGTCGCTGAGCATTTGATGCGAGTGTCCTTCCTTTGGCAGGTGATGCCTTTGAAGCAAATCATCTTCTTCCGGCTCATCAAGCAGCTTTCAGAGGTGAGGTGACACTGCAAGACTTAGAGGACATGAACAGAGTTGCAGTTGCCCTCATGACCTGCTTCCCATGATTTGCATGTTGGATTCTTAGTCTTAACTGAAGCCTGCACAGATGAAATCTATGTTCTTTCTTGCGTAGCTTAGGATATCCTTCAATCATGCCGTGTCCGAACCAATCCATCCGGCTAGATGTACAAATGTTTCATTCCTTATTATTTCCCCGCGTGTGCCAAGAAACACTAGGTTTCACAACGAAGGGTCGTGACTAGGTTCCCGAAGTTGTTTTAGTGCACGAACAAGGAAATTTGAAAACACCCCTTAGGGGCGAGTGTATCAAGGCAAAATCCGCAGGATTACTCCATGTTTTTTTTTTCTTTGCCACCTGCACAGGGGTTTGCGAATTGCAATTCCTTTACTTGCAATTTATTCAATTTCCCAAATCTGTTTTTGGCGCTTTGGCCAAGTGCTGCATGGGATTTACTTGCAATTTATTCAATTTTCCAAATCTGTTTTTGGCGCTTTGGCCAAGTGCTGCATGGGATTTACTTGCAATTTATTCAATTTTCCAAATTTGTTTTTGGCGCTTTGGCCAAGTGCTGCATGGGATTACTTGCAATTTATTCAATTTCCCAAATCTGTTTTTGGCGCTTTGGCCAAGTGCTGCATGGGATTTACTTGCAATTTATTCAATTTCCCAAATCTGTTTTTGGCGCTTTGGCCAAGTGCTGCATGGGATTTACTTGCAATTTATTCAATTTTCCAAATTTGTTTTTGGCGCTTTGGCCAAGTGCTGCATGGGATTTACTTGCAATTTATTCAATTTCCCAAATCTGTTTTTGGCGCTTTGGCCAAGTGCTGCATGGGATTTACTTGCAATTTATTCAATTTCCCAAATCTGTTTTTGGCGCTTTGGCCAAGTGCTGCATGGGTTTACTTGCAATTTATTCAATTTCCCAAATCTGTTTTTGGCGCTTTGGCCAAGTGCTGCATGGGATTTACTTGCAATTTATTCAATCAAATCTGTTTTTGGCGCTTTGGCCAAGTGGCCTGCATGGGATTTACTTGCAATTTATTCAATTTCCCAAATCTTTTTTTGGCGCTTTGGCCAAGTGCTGCATGGGGTTTACTTGCAATTTATTCAATTTCCCAAATCTGTTTTTGGCGCTTTGGCCAAGTGCTGCATGGGATTTACTTGCAATTTATTCAATTTTCCAAATCTGTTTTTGGCGCTTTGGCCAAGTGCTGCATGGGATTTACTTGCAATTTATTCAATTTCCCAAATCTGTTTTTGGCGCTTTGGCCAAGTGCTGCATGGGATTTACTTGCAATTTATTCAATTTCCCAAATCTGTTTTTGGCGCTTTGGCCAAGTGCTGCATGGGATTTACTTGCAATTTATTCAATTTCCCAAATCTGTTTTTGGCGCTTTGGCCAAGTGCTGCATGGGATTTACTTGCAATTTATTCAATTTCCCAAATCTGTTTTTGGCGCTTTGGCCAAGTGCTGCATGGGATTTACTTGCAATTTATTCAATTTCCCAAATCTGTTTTTGGCGCTTTGGCCAAGTGCTGCATGGGATTTACTTGCAATTTATTCAATTTCCCAAATCTGTTTTTGGCGCTTTGGCCAAGTGCTGCATGGGATTTACTTGCAATTTATTCAATTTCCCAAATCTGTTTTTGGCGCTTTGGCCAAGTGCTGCATGGGATTTACTTGCAATTTATTCAATTTCCCAAATCTGTTTTTGGCGCTTTGGCCAAGTGCTGCATGGGATTTACTTGCAATTTATTCAATTTTCCAAATCTGTTTTTGGCGCTTTGGCCAAGTGCTGCATGTGATTTACTTGCAATTTATTCAATTTCCCAAATCTGTTTTTGGCGCTTTGGCCAAGTGCTGCATGGGATTTACTTGCAATTTATTCAATTTTCCAAATCTGTTTTTGGCGCTTTGGCCAAGTGCTGCGTGGGATTTACTTGCAATTTATTCAATTTCCAAATCTGTTTTTGGCGCTTTGGCCAAGTGCTGCATGGGATTTACTTGCAATTTATTCAATTTTCCAAATCTGTTTTTGGCGCTTTTGCCAAGTGCTGCATGGGATTTACTTGCAATTTATTCAATTTCCAAATCTGTTTCGGGCGCTTTGGCCAAGTGCTGCATGGGATTTACTTGCAATTTATTCAATTTCCCAAATCTGTTTTTGGCGCTTTGGCCAAGTGCTGCATGGGATTTACTTGCAATTTATTCAATTTCCAGATCTGTTTCGAGCGCTTTGGCCAAGTGCTGCATGGGATTTACTTGCAATTTATTCAATTTCCCAAATCTATTTCGGGCGCTTTGGCCAAGTGCTGCATGGGATTTACTTGCAGTTTATTCAATGGTCCAAATCTGTTTTTGGCGCTTTGGCCAAGTGCTGCATGGGATTTACTTGCAATTTATTCAATTTCCAAATCTGTTTCGGGTGCTTTGGCCAAGTGCTGCATGTGATTTACTTGCAATTTATTCAATTTTCCAAATCTGTTTTTGGCGCTTTGGCCAAGTGCTGCATGGGATTTACTTGCAATTTATTCACTTTCCCAAATCTTTTTTTGGCGCTTTGGCCAAGTGCTGCATGGGATTTACTTGCAATTTATTCAATTTTCCAAAATCTGTTTTTGGCGCTTTGGCCAAGTGCTGCATGGGATTTACTTGCAATTTATTCAATTTTCCAAATCTGTTTTTGTCGCTTTGGCCAAGTGCTGCATGGGATTTACTTGCAGTTTATTCACTTTTCAAATCTGTTTTTGGCGCTTTGGCCAAGTGCTGCATGGGATTTACTTTCAATTTATTCAATTTTCTAAATCTTTTTTTGGCGCTTTGGCCAAGTGCTGCATGGGTTATACTATACTTGCAATGTATTCAATTTTCCAAATCTGTTTTTGGTGCTTTGGCCAAGTGCTGCATGGGATTTACTTTTAATTTAATCAATTTTCCAAATCTGTTTTTGCCGCTTTTGCCAAGTGCTGCATGGGATTTACTTGCAATTTATTCACTTTTCCAAATCTGTTTTTGGCGCTTTGGCCAAGTGCTGCATGGGATTTACTTGCAAATTATTCAATTTTCCAAATCTGTTTTTGGCGCTTTGGCCAAGTGCTGCATGAGTTATACTTGCAATGTATTCAATTTTCCAAATCTGTTTTTGGTGCTTTGGCCAAGTGCTGCATGGGATTTACTTTTAATTTATTCAATTTTCCAAATCTGTTTTTGCCGCTTTTGCCAAGTGCTGCATGGGATTTACTTTCATTTTTTTCACTTTCCCGAATCTGTCTTCGGCGCTTTGGCCAAGTGCTGCATGGGATTCACTTGCAATTTGTTGTTTGTTCCAAATCTGTTTTTGGCGCTTTGGCCAAGTGCTGCATGGGATTTACTTGCAATTTATTCAATTTTCCAAATCTGGTTTTGGCGCTTTGGCCAAGTGCTGCATGGGATTTGCTTGCAATTTATTCAATTTTCCAAATCTGTTTTTGGCGCTTTGGCCAAGTGCTGCATGGGATTTACTTGCAATTTATTCAATTTTCCAAATCTGTTTTTGGCGCTTTGGCCAAGTGCTGCATGGGTTATACTTGCAATTTATTCAATTTTCCAAATCTGTTTCGGGCGCTTTGGCCAAGTGCTGCATGGGATTTACTTGCAATTTATTCACTTTTCCACATCTGTCTTCGGCGCTTTGGCCAAGTGCTGCATGGGATTTACTTGCAATTTATTCAATTTTCCAGATCTGTTTTTGGCGCTTTGGCCAAGTGCTGCATGAGATTTACTTTCAATTTATTCAATTTTCCAAATCTGTTTTTGGCGCTTTGGCCAAGTGCTGCATGGGATTTACTTGCAATTTATTCAATTTCCAAATCTGTTTTTGGCTCTTTGGCCAAGTGCTGAATGGGATTTACTTGCAATTTATTCACTTTTCCAAATCTGTTTTTGGCGCTTTGGCCAAGTGCTGCATGGGATTTACTTGCAAATTATTCAATTTTCCAAATCTGTTTTTGGCGCTTTGGCCAAGTGCTGCATGGGATTTACTTGCAATTTATTCAATTTTCCAAATCTGTTTTTGGCGCTTTGGCCAAGTGCTGCATGGGATTTACTTGCAGTTTATTCAATTTTCCAAATCTGTTTTTGGCGCTTTGGCCAAGTGCTGCATGGGATTTACTTGCAATTTTTTCACTTTTCCAAATCTGTTTTTGGCGCTTTGGCCAAGTGCTGCATGGGATTTACTTGCAATTTATTCAATTTCCCAAATCTTTTTTTGGCGCTTTGGCCAAGTGCTGCATGGGATTTACTTGCAATTTATTCCATTTCCAAATCTGTTTTTGGCGCTTTGGCCAAGTGCTGCATGGGATTTACTTGCAGTTTATTCACTTTTCCAAATCTGTTTTTGGCGCTTTGGCCAAGTGCTGCATGGGATTAACTTGCAATGCATTCAATTTTCCAAATCTGTTTTTGGCGCTTTGGCCTAAGTGCTGCATGGGCTTTACTTGCAATTTATTCAATTTTCCAAATTTGTTTTTGGCGCTTTGGCCAAGTGCTGCATGGGATTCACTTGCAATTTATTCACGTTTCCAAATCTGTTTTGTGCGCTTTGGCCAAGTGCTGCATTGGGATTTACTTGCAATGTATTCAATTTTCCAAATCTGTTTTTGGCGCTTTGGCCAAGTGGTGCATGGAATTTACTTGCAATTTACAGTATTCAATTTTCCAAATCTGTTTTTGGCGCTTTGGCCAAGTGCTGCATGGGTTATACTTGCAATTTATTCAATTTCCAAATCTGTTTCGGGCGCTTTGGCCAAGTGCTGCATGGGATTTACTTGCAATTTATTCAATTTTCCAAATCTGTTTTCGGCGCTTTGGCCAAGTGCTGCATGGGATTTACTTGCAATTTATTCAATTTTCCAAATCTGTCTTCGGCGCTTTGGCCAAGTGCTGCATTGGGATTTGATTTACTTGCAATGTATTCAATTTTCCAAATCTGTTTTTGGCGCTTTGGCCAAGTGCTGCATGGGATTTTACTTGCAATTTACAGTATTCAATTTTCCAAATCTGTTTTTGGCGCTTTGGCCAAGTGCTGCAATTTCCAAATCTGTTTCGGGCGCTTTGGCCAAGTGCTGCATGGGATTTACTTGCAATGTATTCAATTTTCCAAATCTGTTTTTGGTGCTTTGGCCAAGTGCTGCATGGGATTTACTTTTAATTTATTCAATTTTCCAAATCTGTTTTTGCCGCTTTTGCCAAGTGCTGCATGGGATTTACTTTCATTTTTTTCACTTTCCCGAATCTGTCTTCGGCGCTTTGGCCAAGTGCTGCATGGGATTCACTTGCAATTTGTTGTTTGTTCCAAATCTGTTTTTGGCGCTTTGGCCAAGTGCTGCATGGGATTTACTTGCAATTTATTCAATTTTCCAAATCTGGTTTTGGCGCTTTGGCCAAGTGCTGCATGGGATTTACTTTCATTTTTTTCACTTTTCCAAATCTGTTTTTGGCGCTTTGGCCAAGTGCTGCATGGGATTTACTTGCAATTTATTCAATTTTCCAAATCTGTTTTTCGCGCTTTGGCCAAGTGCTGCATGGGCTTTACTTGCAATTTATTCACTTTTCCAAATCTGTTTTCGGCGCTTTTGCCAAGTGCTGCATGGGATTTACTTGCAATTTATTCAATTTCCCAAATCTGTTTTTGGCGCTTTGGCCAAGTGCTGCATGGGATTTACTTGCAATTTATTCAATTTTCCAAATCTGTTTTTCGCGCTTTGGCCAAGTGCTGCATGGGCTTTACTTGCAATTTATTCACTTTTCCAAATCTGTTTTCGGCGCTTTGGCCAAGTGCTGCATGGGATTTACTTGCAATTTTTTCACTTTTCCAAATCTGTTTTTGGCGCTTTGGCCAAGTGCTGCATGGGATTTACTTGCAATTTATTCAATTTCCCAAATCTGTTTTTGGCGCTTTGGCCAAGTGCTGCATGGGATTTACTTGCAATTTATTCAATTTCCCAAATCTGTTTTTGGCGCTTTGGCCAAGTGCTGCATGGGATTTACTTGCAATTTATTCAATTTTCCAAATCTGTTTTTGGCGCTTTGGCCAAGTGCTGCATGGGCTTTACTTGCAATTTATTCACTTTTCCAAATCTGTTTTTGGCGCTTTGCAGTGGTTTTGGTTCAGTTCGGTTTGGTTTCGGTTTCTAGTATTTGCTATAGCCCCGGTTCGGTTCATGTTCGGTTTCGGTTCCTGCGGTTCCTGGTCGATTTCGGTTTGGTTCGGTTCGGTGTTTGGAACATTCTGCATTGATATTTGTTTTTTTTCCGGCGTCGGAAAAGCAAATCCAGATTGCTTCCCGCAAGAGGTTTATTGCTTCTCGCAAGAGGTTTCATGAGCAGCGGCTTTCAAAGAGCGGAGAGAGCTGAACTCGGAAAACCAAAGCTTCCTGAAAATGTCAGTGCATGCAATTTATTATGAAGAAACCCATATTTGCTGTTTTCATTGAACTCAAAAGCAATTACAACTTTTCCAATAAGTTTATTGGGGGAGGGTAAGACGGTTCCGGTTCCTCCGGTTCGGTTTTGCACACGGTTCCAGCGGTTCACGGTTCCTACGGTTATAGGCTATTTGATTTTCTACGGTTCGGTTCCACGGTTCCGGTTCGGTTCCAGAACCTTATGGCCAAGTGCTGCATGGGCTTACCTCGAGCCTGTCGAGGTAGTATGTGACAGTGTCAATGACTAAACAAGAAATTCCCAAAAGACAAAACTTATGTGAACGCGGTATATGCACAACAACACAATGGTCCCCGTATGCTGGAAAAGCAACAAAACGCTGACGGCATTGACCCCCACAGGACAAAGGAGGCATTTGGACACCGATATCCACAGAAACGGGCAACTATGTGTAACTATGCAATATTCTGGAGCATCTCAAACATTTACAAACTTTCCACAAGGCTCTTGAGGGTTGGCATAAACAATCCAGGCGTTGGTGCTTGATTGCTTGGCGCTGCGATTGCTAAACTTTTTCTGGGTCATTTGGGGCGCATTGGGTCAAGCATAATAAGCATGGTGGGTGCAGTACTGTTGCGCCATTGCTTTGACAGGTGTATGTCAGCATGACAATTGAAGATTTTGAGAATGCAGCGTCCATTGTGTTTAGCCCTCAGGTGGGTAGAATGTTTTCACGGTTTCTGGCTAAGGCTCTTTTTTTAAATTAGTTGATCCTAAGGCCATTCAATATTGCAGAAACTTGGATGGCCAATGCTTCTCGACAACAAGGCACCGTTCATAGATTTTTGCGCCCCTGCCTGTTTGTTTGACAATAATGGCTCAGAATTGCGATGAACAGTGCCATGGTCATGGTAGAATTTGAGTGCGCTTATTTGGCCGGTTTCCTGCAAGTTTTTGGAGGTTCCGACTGTCCTCCAACTCTTTTGAAACTGATCAGTTTTGCGATGAACGGCGCTTTGTGATGAATTTCGCTGAGCAGTGGCAGGAATTAGCATCCAGATCAACTACATGCAGAAAGCCATTATCTTCGGGGCGCCAACAAAGGTGGACATGCTGGAGCCTTAGGAGATCTTAGGAGTCATGCTGGACATTGCAATATGTTGCACATGTAATGTAATGTAATGCCATGTCATGTGATGTACATGCGTAAATGTATATATAATGCGTGTGTGCAAATGTATGTAATTATGTAAATGTGTATATGTTTGTTGATATACATGTAAAATTCTTCAAAATGTTCTGCACATATGTCCAAACATGTGTGCTATTGTATGTTGCTATGTTTGTGCAAATACATGTATGCATGTAAAGATGTAAACGTGGATGCATGTACTTCTGTCTATGTAAATTTAAACGATTACATGTACGTACATGCGCATCTACATGTACTTTTCGCTTTTGTTGTCATGTAGTTGTAGGAACGTTTGCATTTTAACCAATATAATGATAATGCGTGTTGCATACTATTTGCATATATGCCAAGACAATCCCAGCTCGTTTGAGGAAGAGCATGAGGCAACCTCTCATTGAGATTGGCTGAAACCTCAGGTTGCCTCATTGATTGAAACTGCAAAGACAAAATTCACCCTAAACCGTGCTTGGGCTCCCCGCTTCGAACATGTTTCGTAACATTTAGCAAATGTTGGCCGCGTTTCAGGCTACAAACTTCAAAATGTTTGTGCCCAAGCGCTGTGCAGTTTTGCACGTCATACTGTTTTTGACTCATCGGCAGGTTAGAAAATGGAACACGAATGGCTTGAGAGCCTACGCTAAGCCAGACGAAACATGTTTATTTTGACGATGTTTACGGTTGGATGGCGGTTGCACTTCCAAAAAGTTCTGAGGCCATGCAGTGTGTGGCCCAGGACTTGTGCGGAAGGTTTCAAACGTTGAAACAATCTGAGTTGGAAACTAAATTCACAAACGGTTTTAACAATTTCATAAAACAATTTGGTCTATGTTTCTTGCACCTTCACCCATTGGTCCATCGTTTATACTACTGATGAAAAGGAATCTGTTTTGTTTCTGGCAAAGTACCACTGTTGGTTTGTTCCTGCGCTCTGTTTTGGCCAGGAGGAACTTCAAAGGAACGACAAGCACGAAAAACAGCCGCTTGGTGAATGGCAATGGGTGGAGATTTTAGTGCCATATGGCGTGCTACATGCATCCACATGCTATCATTTCCGGTTTCCTGTTTTTTTTAAGCTGATGTCCCCGAAATTACTTTTGTCACAACATGATTTGCTCTTATGATATATATGTAGGTTCTGTCTCCCACTTTGTCTCCCAAGTTCCCACTTTGTCTCGCACTTGGTTTCCCAAGCTCGAACCTTCTCACACAATATACGTTCCTCCCATTACGTTGTTTCGCACTTTGTCGTTTTGTTGTAGCAATTTGTTTTTCTCACTTTTTCACTTACTGTGTTTTATAAAGATTTGCCGCAACATTTTGTCCTGTTCGATGTTGCCTCTCACTTTGTCCCCTTTTTGCGTCTCCATGTGGGACCTTGCCACAAGAAGTTGATGATTTAGTGTTTAGGTTTTTGTTGTTTTTTCAGTTTGTGTTCCTTTTGTTTCCCAGGTGGGGTCTTGCCGCAACATGAATTTGTCTCCCCCTCCATCTCCCACTTGTAGGGTCTTGTCACCAGATGAAACAGTCTCCCACTTTGTGCCCGACCTTGGCTCCCCATTTGGGATCTTGTCGCCAACAGGTTGGAGGGTTCCTATCGATTAATCAGACCGGATAAATCCAAAACCGAATCTTGGTTTGGACATTTTCCCTTGGCCATTTGTTGTTGTAGTAAAATTGCACTGTATGTTCAACGCCAAAGAGGAACAAAACGCATGTTATTAGTTTAACAAGATAGTTTGAGTGTTTATTTTTTCTATATGTCTACTATGTTTCATCTCTTTGTCATCATTATTGTATATGTTGTTTTTTCTTTCTGCTGTGATTTTGGTGTTGTGTTGTGCATGTGACTGTGAGGCAGCTCCTGAGCAACATCAAAGAGTTGATGGACCAGGAAGGGGGGCAACATGGGGCAACTGTGCAACAATATATGAAATACATTGAAATTTGAAATATCATATATGTCATACATATATATATATTATCATCAAAGGAAATTGGGAAGCAATACTTCTGTGTTACCGACAAATAGAATTGTGAGACTTGACATTGATGAAGGGCGGTGTGAGACTTGACATCACATAACAATACATCATAAAAGAATAATAGGCTATGACACAGGGTGGTGAAGAATGGAAATGGTGACTTTGGGAAGTGGTGACGAAGGGAAGTGGTGAAGAAGGGAAGTGGTGAAGAAGGGAAATGGTGACGAAGGGAAATGGTGACGAAGGGAAGTGGTGACTTTGGGAAGTGGTTAAGAAGGGAAGTGGTGACGAAGGGAAGTGGTGACGAAGGGAAGTGGTGAAGAAGGGAAATGGTGAAGAAGGGAAATGGTGACGAAGGGAAATGGTGACGAAGGGAAATGGTGACGAAGGGAAGTGGTGACGAAGGGAAATGGTGAAGAAGGGAAATGGTGAAGAAGGGAAGTGGTGAAGAAGGGAAATGGTGACGAAGGGAAGTGGTGACGAAGGGAAGTGGTGAAGAAGGGAAATGGTGAAGAAGGGAAGTGGTGAAGAAGGGAAATGGTGACGAAGGGAAATGGTGAAGAAGGGAAGTGGTGAAGAAGGGAAATGGTGACGAAGGGAAATGGTGACGAAGGGAAATGGTGAAGAAAGGAAATGGTGAAGAAGGGAAGTGGTGAAGAAGGGAAATGGTGACGAAGGGAAGTGGTGAAGAAGGGAAATGGTGAAGAAGGGAAGTGGTGAAGAAGGGAAATGGTGACGAAGGGAAGTGGTGAAGAAGGGAAGTGGTGAAGAAGGGAAGTGGTGACGAAGGGAAGTGGTGACGAAGGGAAGTGGTGAAGAAGGGAAGTGGTGAAGAAGGGAAATGGTGAAGAAGGGAAATGGTGAAGAAGGGAAATGGTGAAGAAGGGAAGTGGTGAAGAAGGGAAATGGTGACGAAGGGAAATGGTGACGAAGGGAAATGGTGACGAAGGGAAGTGGTGAAGAAGGGAAATGGTGAAGAAGGGAAATGGTGAAGAAGGGAAGTGGTGAAGAAGGGAAATGGTGACGAAGGGAAGTGGTGACGAAGGGAAGTGGTGAAGAAGGGAAATGGTGAAGAAGGGAAGTGGTGAAGAAGGGAAATGGTGAGGAAGGGAAGTGGTGACGAACGGAAGTGGTGACGAAGGGAAGTGGTGACGAAGGGAAGTGGTGACGAAGGGAAGTGGTGAGGAAGGGAAGTGGTGAGGAAGGGAAGTGGTGACTTTGGGAAGTTGTGACGAAGGGAAGTTGTGACGAAGGGAAGTGGTGAGGAAGGGAAGTGGTGACGAAGGGAAGTGGTGACGAAGGGAAGTGGTGAGGAACGGAAGTGTTGAGGAAGGGAAGTGGTGACGAAGGGAAGTGGTGACGAAGGGAAGTGGTGACGAAGGGAAGTGGTGACGATGGGCAAGTGGTGACGAAGGGAAGTGGTGAAGAAGGGAAGTGATGATGAAGGGGAGTGATGACGAAGGGAAGTGGTGAGGAAGGGAAGTGGTGAAGAAGGGAAGTGGTGACGAAGGGAAGCGGTGAAGAAGGGAAGTGATGATGAAGGGGAGTGGTGACGAAGGGAAGTGGTGAGGAAGGGACGTGGTGACGAAGGGAAGTGGTGACGATGGGAAGTGGTGATACTAACGGAAGTGGTGACGATGGGAAGTGGTGACGAAGGGAAGTGGTGACGAAGGGAAGTGGTGACAATGACTTGGTGAACTAAGGGAGTGGTGAGGAAGGGAAGTGGTGACAACGGAAGTGGTGACGGGGGAAGGGAAGTGGTGACGAAGGGAAGTGGTGACGAAGGGAAGTGGTGACGAAGGGAAGTGACGACGAAGGGAAGTGGTGACGAAGGGAAGTGGTGACGAAGGGAAGTGGTGACGAAGGGAAGTGGTGACGAAGGGAAGTGGTGACGAAGGGAAGTGGTGACAAAGGGAAGTGGTGACGAAGGGAAGTGGTGACGAAGGGAAGTGGTGACGATGGGAAGTGGTGACGAAGGGAAGTGGTGACGATGGGAAGTGGTACTTTGGGAGTGGTGACGAAGGGAAGTGGTGAGGAAGGGAAGTGGTGAGGAAGGGAAGTGGTGACGTTGGGAAGTGTTGAGGAAGGGAAGTGATGACGAAGGGAAGTGGTGACGAAGGGAAGTGGTGACGAAGGGAAGTGGTGACGAAGGGAAGTGGTGACGAAGGGAAGTGGTGACGAAGGGAAGTGGTGACGAGGGGAAGTGGTGACGAAGGGAAGTGGTGAGGAAGGGAAGTGGTGACGAAGGGAAGTGGTGACGAGGGGAAGTGGTGACGAAGGGAAGTGGTGACGAAGGGAAGTGGTGAGGAAGGGAAGTGGTGACGAGGGGAAGTGGTGACGAAGGGAAGTGGTGAGGAACGGAAGTGGTGACGAAGGGAAGTGGTGACGAAGGGAAGTGGTGAGGAAGGGAAGTGGTGACGAGGGGAAGTGGTGACGAAGGGAAGTGGTGAGGAACGGAAGTGGTGACGAAGGGAAGTGGTGACGAACGGAAGTGGTGACGAACGGAAGTGGTGAGGAAGGGAAGTGGTGACGAGGGGAAGTGGTGAGGAAGGGAAGTGGTGAGGAACGGAAGTGGTGACGAAGGGAAGTGGTGAGGAACGGAAGTGGTGACGAAGGGAAGTGGTGACGAAGGGAAGTGGTGAGGAAGGGAAGCGGTGACGAGGGGAAGTGGTGACGAAGGGAAGTGGTGACGAAGGGAAGTGGTGACGAAGGGAAGTGGTGAGGAACGGAAGTGGTGACGAAGGGAAGTGGTGACGAAGGGAAGTGGTGAGGAAGGGAAGTGGTGACGAAGGGAAGTGGTGAGGAAGGGAAGTGGTGAGGAAGGGAAGTGGTGACGAAGGGAAGTGGTGACTTTGGGAAGTTGTGACGAAGGGAAGTGGTGAGGAAGGGAAGTGGTGACGAGGGGAAGTGGTGACGAAGGGAAGTGGTGACGAAGGGAAGTGGTGAGGAAGGGAAGTGTTGAGGAAGGGAAGTGGTGACGAAGGGAAGTGGTGACGAAGGGAAGTGGTGACGAAGGGAAGTGGTGAGGAAGGGAAGTGGTGACGAGGGGAAGTGGTGACTTTGGGAAGTGGTGACGAAGGGAAGTGGTGACGAATGAAATCGGGTACACATTGGTGACTTTGGAATTGGTGACGAAGGAAAGTGGTGATGAGGTGGAATTGTGACGAAGGGAGTGGTACTAAGGGAACTGGTGACGAAGGGAAGTGGTGACGAGGGAAGTGTTGACGAACGGGGAATTGGTGAACGAGGGGAAGTTGTGACGAAGGGAAGTGAGTGAGGACGAGGAAGTGGTGAAGAAGGGAAATGGTGACTTTGGGAAGCGGTGACTTTGGGAAGTGGTGACGAAGGGAAGTGGTGAAGAAGGGAAGTGGTGAAGAAGGGAAATGGTGACTTTGGGACGTGGTGACTTTGGGAAGTGGTGACGAAGGGAAGTGGTGACGAAGGGAAGTGGTGACGAAGGGAAGTGGTGACGAAGGGAAGTGGTGACTTTGGGAAGTGGTGACTTTGGGAAGTGGTGACGAAGGGAAGTGGTGACGAAGGGAAGTGGTGACGAAGGGAAGTGGTGAAGAAGGGAAGTGGTGAAGAAGGGAAATGGTGACTTTGGGACGCGGTGACTTTGGGAAGTGGTGACTTTGGGAAGTGGTGAAGAAGGGAATTGGTGAGGAAGGGAAGTGGTGACGAAGGGAAGTGGTGACGAAGGGAAGTGGTGAAGAAGGGAAGTGGTGAAGAAGGGAAGTGGTGATGAAGGGGAGTGGTGACGAAGGGAAGTGGTGAGGAAGGGAAGTGGTGGAGAAGGGAAGTGGTGACGAAGGGAAGTGGTGAAGAAGGGAAGTGATGATGAAGGGGAGTGGTGACGAAGGGAAGTGGTGAGGAAGGGAAGTGGTGAAGAAGGGAAGTGGTTACGAAGGGAAGTGGTGAGGAAGGGAAGTGGTGAAGAAGGGAAGTGGTGACGAAGGGAAGTAGTGAAGAAGGGAAGTGGTGAAGAAGGGAAGTGATGATGAAGGGGAGTGGTGACGAAGGGAAGTGGTGAGGAAGGGAAGTGGTGAAGAAGGGAAGTCGTGACGAAGGGAAGTGGTGAAGAAGGGAAGTGGTGACGAAGGGAAGTGGTGAGAAGGGAAGTGGTGACGAAGGGAAGTGGTGACGAAGGGAAGTGGTGACGAAGGGAAGTGGTGACGAAGGGAAGGGGTGACGAAGGGAAGTGGTGACGAAGGGAAGTGGTGACGAAGGGAAGTGGTGACGAAGGGAAGTGGTGACGAAGGGAAGTGGTGACGAAGGGAGGTGGTGACGAAGGGAAGTGGTGACGAAGGGAAGTGGTGACGAAGGGAAGTGGTGAGGAAGGGAAGTGGTGACGAAGGGAAGTGGTGAGGAAGGGAAGTGGTGACGAACGGAAGTGGTGACGAAGGGAAGTGGTGAGGAAGGGAAGTGGTGACGGAAGGGAAGTGGTGACGAAGGGAAGTGGTGACGAAGGGAAGTTGTGACGAAGGGAAGTTGTGACGAAGGGAAGTGGTGAGGAAGGGAAGTGGTGACGAAGGGAAGTGGTGACGAAGGGAAGTGGTGAGGAACGGAAGTGTTGAGGAAGGGAAGTGGTGACGAAGGGAAGTGGTGACGAAGGGAAGTGGTGACGAAGGGAAGTGGTGACGAAGGGAAGGGGTGACGAAGGGAAGTGGTGACGAAGGGAAGTGGTGACGAAGGGAAGTGGTGACGAAGGGAAGTGGTGACGAAGGGAAGTGGTGACGAAGGGAAGTGGTGAGGAAGGGAAGTGGTGACGAGGGGAAGTGGTGACGAAGGGAAGGGGTGAGGAAGGGAAGTGGTGACGAAGGGAAGTGGTGACGAGGGAAAGTGGTGACGAAGGGAAGTGGTGACGAGGGGAAGTGGTGACGAAGGGAAGTGGTGACGAAGGGAAGTGGTG